AGTAGTAGTAGTAGTAGTAGTAGTAGTAAGCAGTAGTAGTAGTAGTAGTAGTCGTAGTCGTAGCGTAGTCGTAGTCGTATCGTAGTCGTAGTCGTAGTCCGTAAGTCGTAGGTCGTAGTCCGTATTGTCCGTAGTCGTAGTAGGTCGTAGTTAGTAGTAGTAGTAAGTAGTATAGTAATTTAGTAGTAGTAAGTATTCGTAGTCGTAGTCGTAGTCGTCGTAGTAGTATAGTAGTGAAGTAGTAAGTAGTCGTAGTAGGTCAACCTCTATTACTATTTGAACCAGCTCTACGCATGTGTAGTAGTAGTAGTAGTAAGTAGTAGTAAGTAGTAGTAGTAGTAATCGTAAAGTAAGTAAAGTAAGTAGTAGTAGTCGTAGTAGTAGTAGATAGTATTAGGTAGTAGTAGTAGTAGTAGTAGTAGTAGTATAGTAGTTTAGTAGTAGTAGTAGTAGTCGTAGCAGTAGTAGTAGTAGTAGTAGTAGTAGTAGTAGTAGTAGTAGTAGTAGTAGTATTAGTAGTAGTGGTAGTAGTGGTAGTCGTAGTCTTAGTCGCAGTCGTAGTTGTAAGTAGTAGTAGTAGTAGTAGTAGTAGTAGTAGTAGTAGTAGTAGTAGTAGTAGTAGTAGTAGTAGTAGTAGTAGTAGTAGTTATAGTAGTAGAAGTAGTAGTAGTAGTAGTAGTAGTAGTAGTAGTAGTAGTAGTAGTAGTAGTAGTAGTAGTAGTAGTAGTAGTAGTAGTAGTAGTAGTAGTAGTAGTAGTAGTAGTAGTAGTAGTAGTAGTAGTAGTAGTAGTAGTAGTATAGTACTAGTACTAGTACTAGACTACTACTAGTAGTAGTAGTAGTAGTAGTAGTAGTAGTAGTGTAGTAGTAGTAGTAGTAGTAATAGTAGGAAGGAGGAGGAGGAGGATGGAGGAGGAGGAGGAGGAGGAGGAGGAGGAGGAGGAGGAGTAGTAGTAGTAGTAGTAGCATTAGTATGCAACAGCCTGGCCTCCAGGTCGGGGGGCCCCGAGCCCCACGGACCGGCCTCCAGGCCAGGGGGGGGCCCGGCGGACCTGCCTCCAGGCCGGGGCTCTTCCCTATCGCCTTGGCGGCGCATTCCTGGCGAGCATCGTGCCCCACTGGGAGTTCCAACTAAAGGGGCACGAGGATCGCGCATAAGCAGGGATCTTCAGCTACACCTCAAAGGTTCCACGTCCATGTCGGGCAGTTATCACTTGGATCGTGCCCCACAGGGAGCTCCAACTACAGCTTCAGCGACGGGGGTCGAATCTGGTTCACTTCCACTTCTGCCTTCCTTCACTGTCACGAGGATCGCGCCCGACAGAAAGCTCAGCTGCAGCTCCAGCGAGAGCTACCCCAGCTGGTTCCTTCGCCGTTGCTCTCTCTCTCTCTCTCCCCACCTGGCTCCACGGACCCAGGGTGCTAGCGGACCGGCCTCCAGGCCAGGGTGCTAGCGGACCGACCTCCAGGCCAGGGTTCTTCGTTCATGTCGGCGCCCCTCCTCATACTTCTTCTGCTCCTCCTCCCGCTTTCTTCTTCAGCGCCTCTCCTCCTCCCTACTTCTCTTGCTCTTCAACTTCCTCCTCCTGGCCGTCCTTCTCCTCCTACTCCCCTATTCTCCCATGCTGCTGCTGCCCGTCGTCGTCCTCCTCCTCTTCCTCCTCCGCCTCCTCGTTCTTTGTCCCTTCTCCCTCCTTGCCCCGCGGACCGTCCTCCAGGCCAGGGGAGGCCCTGCGGACCTGCCTCCAGGCTGGGGCTCTGCCCTATAACTTTGGCGGCGCGTTCTTGGCGAGGATCGCGCCCCAGTGGGAGCTCCGACTAGAGAGGGTGACCCTGTCTGGTTCCATGCGCGTTCGGGCGCGCCCCTCACGAGGATCGCGCCTATGCATGGATCTTCAACTTTACGTTCATGTCGGGCAGTTCTCAGTTGGATCGCGCCCCGCAGGGAACTCCACTACAACTCCAGGAAAGACAGAGCGATGAAGAGAAGGGCGGCGAGGGGGAACGTGAAAAGGGGTGTCAAGTGGGGGGAAGGATTGGTGGACGGCAGTTGAGCAGTAAGACGAACGCGGGGCGCGGGTAGGAAGGGGGCAGGGCGCAAGGATGGTCGCGCGCACAGGGGGGGGGGCGCGCCGCGCACTTGCTTGCTCGCTCTACGGGAAGGGGAGGAGGAGGAGGAGGAGGAGGAGGAGGAGGAGGAGGAGGAGGAGGAGGAGGAGGAGGAGGAGGAGAGGAGGAGGAGAGGAGGAGGAGGAGGAGCAGGAGGAGGAGGAGGAGGAGGAGGAAGAGGGGGAGGGGAAGGAGGGGGAGGAGGAGGAGGAAGAGGAGGCACTTTGTATGATCCTGATGATGATGATGACGATAACGATGATGATGATGCCGCTGATGATGATGGTAATGATGATGAGCTTGGTTTCGATGCGGATGATGATGACGCCGAGTACGATCGATGATGTTAATCATGTTGGCAATGGCGCTGGTGACGAGGAACAGGATGATGCGGTTGTTGATTACGTTGTTTATGGCTTGATGATGATGCTAGTTATGCTGATGACCATGACGCCTGTGGTGATCATGGTCATGATTACGACGACGATGATTTTTATCCTCATGGTACTTAGGATGTTGTTGGTGAGTATGGCTTTCAATGCGATGATGGCATTCGTCGGCCACATATACAAACACACACGAACAAGTCGAAAAGCCTTCTTGAAACACGAGTACGTCATACAATTATGTCATTGGTACATACACACACACGCACTCTTGTACATCATCACCACCACTTCATTGTCACATACACACATTCACTTGTACATCGCCGCGACGATTGCACAACCACACTTCAATTCTTCTTCGTCCTCTGATTCCTCCTCCACCAGCCTGAGGGCCAGCGGACCGGCCTCCAGGCCGGGGGGCTAGCGGACCGGCCTCCAAGCCGGATGCGTCCGCTGCTCGCATGTGTTTTGCACAGCTGGCAAGCTGTGCGAAACACATGCGAGCTGTTCTCTCTTTTGTTCCCAACCATCCTGTGGTGTTGGGTCCTCGTTTTGAAGAGACGGTGCCCCGCGTTCCCTCCTTCTCCTCCTCCCGCTGCCCCCTCCCTCCTGCCATCATCATCATCATCGTCATCACCATCATCGTCATCATCAACATCACCATGATATTCGGCGTCATCATGAGCATCACCCTCCGCATGTCTCTATTTCGGCACACCAATCACACGGTTCGTGGCCCCATAGGGAGCTCCACCGAAGCCCCCAGTGGCAGGGTTCGCATGGCGGCCCCGCTTCATTTTGGCGCACCCCTCACACGGTTTGTGGCCCCATAGGGAGCTCCA